AGCTGCACAACATGTCGGGCCCATACACCAGCACACCAAGCAGAACAGGTGCGTGGACTGCATCTTCACCGCCGTCGAACTGCAAATTCTGCGGCGCCCATTACTGGCACTTTGAGTGCCGCCACAACCCCCCCACGCGAGCGCGCGGTCAGTGCGCCTCGCCCAACATCCACCACAAGACCAAACCCAAGCCGCCCGAGACGCCCCAGCCTTTCCTAAGCCAGGTAGGAAGGCACCGACTTTTCGTCAGCCAACTGGCGATAAAACTGTCCCTCAACCATGAACTCTCATCCCCTTTCCTTATTGACACGGGCGCAAGTTTGAACATAGTGCCCCATAACCTCTATAAAAAGTTAAAAAATAACTTCCCTCAACTGAAACTTAAAAAACAATCCATAGACCTACAGGCAATAAACGGCCCTGTACCGACCTTAGGTCGAATAACCCTCCCCTTGAAAATAGGAAAAATAACCAAAAACGAGAATTTCCATGTGGTGGAAGCACCTCTACCATTTGGAATTCTCGGTATAAATACCCTCCGAAAATTTAAAATTACAATAGATTTTAACCAAGGCACTATGTTCCAACTCGCCGCCCCATTGAACCCTACCACCTACCATTTTTATTATATACCAAATAAATGCGCCTATTGGGAATGCCAAGCGAAGTCACAAAGGGCTCACAGGGCACACAAGCCTTCCTCACACAGCACCCAATACGCGCATGCATTGGTCAAAAACCATTTGACACCATGCCCATCTAGATCACGTCACTCGCACGCACACAACTTTTTCACCAGGGCCAATTGCCCTTATTATATGCCCTCTATACACAAGGCTAAAATGGCCCGATTTCACCACAAAAATGCTCTAACATTGTCGGTCCAACAGGACAACCCTCACGCTAGGTACACACGTGACCACACACGAGCAAACCACCGTCACACGCGTAAACATCACAACAAGCGCGACACTCACACCAAAACACAACAGAAACATCTCCCAGACACATGCACCATTACTGCTGGTACCACCACACCACTCACACGAAACAATAGGAATCATTCACGCCATCCAACCACCACACAACCGCAAAACATTGCGATCCTACTTAGGCGCGGTGAACGTCTATAACAAATTCATTCCAGACTACGCCCGCTTGCGGACGCCACTTAACAACCTTCTCAAAAAGGATGTCACGTGGGTCTGGGATGACAAAGGCCAGAAAGCGTTCACTAGCGTGAACAAAAGCTTCACCACACACCCCATCTTACACCTTTATCAGGAAGGTCTGCCGTGCCAGGTGTACTGTGACGCCGCAACACTCGGCATAGCAGGCATCCTCAAACAGGTCCACCCTGATGGGAAGACCTACCCAGTCCAATACTTCAGCCGCGCCCTTCGTTCACACGAACGGAATTACTCCATTTCTAAATTAGAATGCCTAGCAATCGTTGAGAGTGTGGATAAATTCCGCGTCTATTTGATGGGCAGAAAATTTACCATATTTTCTGCCCATCACGTATTGCAATGGCGGAAAACGATCAAAAACCCGTCAGGCAGATTATTTCGATGGAGATTACGGCTGTCGAACTACGAATATGAGGTTCGCTACATAAAAGGAGCACAACAATATGAAGCGGACCTCTTATCCATAACCCGTTCTGTGGCTTATTAGACGCCCCCCTCATTATGAACCATCAGCCTTCCCCATCTGGAGATTCTAAACAGACCATTGTTCACAACAGACTTCATACCATTTCCCGCAAAGGTGTAACCAAAATAATAATCCCAAAAACACTCACCAACGAACTACTTCAATCAGTACACACACAATACAACCACCCAGGCATCTCACAGATGACGAGACTCATCTCCGCTCAGTATTATTGGCAGTGCATGTCAAAAGACATTGCACAAAAGATTGAAATCTGTCCAACCTGCCAATTGACAAAGCGTCTGATGGGACCCACTTACGGGGAATTAGGTCAACCACCAGAAGCCGAAGGGCCCTTCGACCTACTATCCCTTGACACCATAGTTGGGTTTGCCAAATATGGCAACGCCAAATCATACCTCCACCTCGTAGTCGACCATTTTTCGCCCCACACGTGGACGTTTTTGTCCAAATCCACCAGCATTTTCACATATCAACAGGTGCTCAAACGAATGTTGCAGGATGGCTCTCGGAAACGCCTTCTTACGGATAGAGCACCTGCATTCACTTGGCCTAAATTTAGGAGCTTCCTGCTTAACAGGAGTATCCATCCGTTATTCACCACCAGCAATAATCCACTTGCCAACGGTCTATGCGAACGCCTAAACGCCACCCTTACAGGAAAACTTAGGCTACTCCATTTGGCGAATCCTAAAAGCGCATGGACCAAGTTGGTCAAACGAGTTACCACTATATACAACAATACCCCTCACTCTATCACCGGTTTTCCGCCCATCTACCTGGTGTTTGGCGTTCTACCCCCGGAACTTTCCGACCACACCTACGAGACAAACACATTTACGACCAACGACATAAACAACCACACTTCGAGGTAGGCGACCTGGTGTTGGTTAAGATATATCACCCCCCCCCCCCAACACAGGGTAACTTGCCCCATATTTCACAGGACCATACACCATATTAGAGATCATCTCCCCAAATGTGGTCCATATCGATAGACCCAACCAACCTCTCCAAAGAGACATCAATACAGTCCATGTAAACAAAATTAAACTATACACAAAAACATCCAATACATAACACCACCCACAGCAAAAACACACAATATATGGCACAAGAACAATTACACATTTCCATTCAGACATCCTACAACCGACATTTTTCCAACCCAGCCATGACAATCAAACCGACAAACAGCCACCCTTTCATTCGTTCAGATCCCACCATGTACAGGCGGGTAAGAAGCTCGCTGGCTGGCGCGTGAGCTCGCCGGCAGGGGCATGCTTCTTGTTCGAAAACTTTTCTGAATAAACAAAGTGTGTTTTTGCTTTTATCGGCTGTAATTTTTAATAAGTTGATAAATAGGGAGTAGGCCTTAAATAAGAAAATCTTGGTTCAATTCAGATCAAGTTTTCGTCGAGTAAACTCTTGGCTCGAATACTTCGGCCTTGTTCCATTCTCGAGTTCCCTCTTGGCACGTCTCAGTTTCCTTCTATAATCCCTTATTCTTACTTCATGTTGAGTCTTGACCTTCATCTTCTCATATATAGCTTGCTGAGATTCCAGGTTTGCTTCTCGTTTAAGCCCCTCTACTGAAGCACGGTATCCATTTGATCTCACTGATCGTGCCTTTCCTTGAGGAGGTTTGCCTTCTGGTGAAGCTTCCGGGTTTTCTACTTGTTTCGTCGACTTCACGAGCTGCCCTACCTCCACATTATTCTCATTGCCGGTGGAGGATGGATTACCTAGCTTCGTGTACTGAAGACGGGAAATTGCTTTCCGGATCCTGCATTCACCATCAAGTCTTTTCCTGTCACGCATCTGGAATTTGAACTAATAAACTTGTAATATAAGAGAAGAGAGGAAAGGAGAGAAAGCTAGAAATTGCTTTCCCTCCGCGTGCGCTCTTCGCGCTTGAGTGAGGTCACGAGACGCGCGGGCATTGAACGGTGGTTGTTACTTTTTGCTTCTAAAATTAAGGAATATAACAAAACTAATTCACAAATCCGCTTAACTAATGAAAACGTCTTTTAACCGGCTCTTCGCAAACTTCTTAGTTTTGCAATTTTTGCCTCCATGCGTTTTGATATTTTACTATAAAAATTATTTATAAATGTTATTATTAAAAACAAAATAATTAAAAATAAGTATCAAATCCGTCCCCGTCTCGGGTCATTCGGCTAGTATATATATAAGGTCAATACAAGTTTTCGGGCTCAACAGCTCTTCTACAGAATAGAAATTCGGCTCAATCACAGACTGAGCCAGGGATGATATAGGCTCTCTGTGGCCCTTGCATCCCGGGCTTTCGCTGAAATCTAGATCCACACAGCCAGAAGGAATGATGCATTCTCCATGCACCGAGCGGCCATTGGTAGGCCCCTCGCGCCCGCCATTATGGTCTGGCTCCATGGGGTTGACCATTCACCCACAGGCGTCACCGAGAGTTCATTGGCAAGGTTGCTGACCGAGCCCTCTCGTTCGGACTTAGATAAACCCGTCCTACGCTCCAATAGGACTCCCCCCCTTTAGCCCTCGTACCCTTATCCAGTACTCCCTGAATCTGCCGTCGAATCAAGGACCTCTGAGGTACTGAGGTTTACACGGGGAACCGACGCGAAGGCGGGGGGGTGGTACTGCTGTGTGCACCCCTTGGTTTTTCAACACCAGGCCTAGCCCTGGTGCAATTTTCGCGCACGGCAAGGACGCTCCCAATGGCGCACACACAGAGCGAAGACCCAAGAGTTTCAAGACACGTGCGCCTCGCCTCAGACAACCAAGGGCAGACGGCCAGCTTACAGCTTCACTGGACATCAGCCAGTGGCACCCCTACGGAGGACAACACGCAGAGACGCCTCTCCACTCACTCCCTCTAGAGTGACTGTAGAGGACGGGAAAAACTTCTTCCCCGTCGCTCTTCTACAGAATAGAAATTCGGCTCACCAAGCCAGGGACGATATAGGCAGCAATGCCCTTGCGTCCCCTCTTCGCTCTTCTACAGGTATTTTAGTAGTGTAGTTATACCTTTTTTATAATACAATATAATGCGGCTTATGATTGTAGAACGACATTTGAAAATTATCCCGCATATGTTTCTTTTGAACGAAAAATCGAAATTTATTTTAAGGGGAGAAATAACGTTTATTTCTAACCTTAGGGATGAAGTATGAAAGGATGAATTGTGAAGAGTAATGATAAACAGAAAAATAAAAGTGTCCAGGGATGTTTGAATCCAGGGATTCAAATGTCATTTCTACAATCATAAGCCGCATTATATTGTATTATAAATTACTTTATATAATATTTACGGACGGAAAAATATGTCCAGGGTAGCCTAGTGGACATGGCATCTGCCCGGTAAGCAGAACTGTGGGTTCGATTCCCATCCCTGGACACTTTATTTTCCCGTTTATCATTACTCTTCACATTTCATCCTTTCATACTTCATCCCTAAGGTTAGAAATAATATTTATTTCTCCTTAAAATAAATTTCGAATTTTCGTTCAAAAAAAAAAAAAAACACATGCGGGATAATTTTCAAATGTCGTAGTTATACCTGTCAAAGGGCTGTTGAGCCCGAAAGCTTATATTGCCGTTTATATATAAAAGAAACTCTTCCCTTAGCAAATTGTCTTTTATTTATAAAAATAATTTTCAAACAGCTAAAGACTCAACTGTGAAAGGACCAAAATATCATAACTTAAACCATCAAAGGAAGCACCTTCAAGTGAACTTACATTCACTTAATTTGAAATAATGCTATAGATGTGAAGTGGAGCTAGAAATATGAAATTTACATTTTGTAACAGTATGGTTAATCTAATAGAGTTTGTGTAGAAATAAAAAAATATATATATATTGAAAGGAAGAAAAGAAATACTTAAAATATTTCAGAAAATAATGAAACTCAGATAATTTTTTTTATTATTATCCCTAGTACACGTGGTACAGGCCATGATAATCATGGTGGGTAGAAGTAGGCGACTGCTTTTACTGTAAGTGTACCACATGTCTACACTTGTGAAAAGCAGTTTGACTTCCGCACTTACAAATGTGCCAGAGCCCCGTTTAGTTACTTGCACTCGTTGTGGGGTTGGACTTTTACAAGAATCGGGGACCATTGAAGCATTTCTTTTAATTACAAAAAAGTGCCCAATGCGGGATTCGATCCCGGGTTGTAGCGGTTGAAAACCAACGGTTTAGACCATCCTTCCACCGACCCCCTTTGGTTCTGATAATAAAGAAAATATATAACTCTGACTTTGCCGGCCCCAAGCCCGGATGAAAAAGGAGGAGGGGGAGCAGTAACAAGCTCACTAAAAAACCTGGGCTCAGCTGGCCCGGCTGATAGTACCCTGTAAGGGCTCCTAATCCAGGGATACAGGATGAGCAGCGTTTGTATTCCATATAGCAGTGGCTGCACATGGCGTCTGTTCCACATGTCAGAGGCGGCCATTTCTTTTGGAGCTAAGTCGGCCTGCCACTGAGTAGTGCTCCCAGTCTTAATGACAAAGGCAGACGCATTCTACTCCACCCAGTTATGATGGTTGTCAAAGCTTGATACACAAATATGATTGAGTGAGATAAGAAAGAAGACGAAGAAAATATCTAAATAGAAGGAAAGAAATAACTATGGCTATTGATACAGGTAGTAATACAACATTGATAGGACTTGACATTTAAAAATATATATAAATCTTAAGTCTAGAATGCCAACTTTAAATAGCACAGAAAAGAAAGTTTATGTATATGGATAAATTTCTTATCTTTTAATAATAATAAATGAACTGATTTGTTGTAAATATTTGATGAAATTGTTTCCTTTTCCCTTTCTTTCTCCTTATTAATATCTTATGACTATATTATTTACAGCCTAAAATTATTGTAAATAAATATGTATAGATAACTGTAGAAACATACATGTATCTCAGCGCCAATATCCCTAGGGGGACATAGCGCTTTATAATGAAACTAGCCGAATGACCCGGGCAACGCCCGTGTTTTACCCGATTGTGTGAATGTTTTGATTCAAATACTATTTGTTACAATTATAAATTGGCGCCTTAAATAATTGCATATGTTAGTTAATAACTATAGCCTATGTGCTTTATCTGTCTATGTACAGTTGGCTCCCGTAGGCGTCTCTTACTGGGAAAAAGAAAGAGAGGATTCCATTTGGTTATTATCTAATATATGCATTTATTTAGGGAGCGACCCGCTCCAACACAATAGTTACATAAATAGCGAGTGGGGGGGGGGGGGGGCAAAGGTGGCGTGACCGTAGCCAACCAATAGGAGGGCGCCATTCCAAAAAAAAAAAAAGCAAACGGTGACAGAGAGAGATTAGGAGATTAGGAGATGAAGAATGACGCTCGTAACTGTATATAGAAAAAGCAAGCAATAAACAAGCAATATGGTCACATCAGCAAAGTTCAACTACTTAGAGTGACACATACTTAAGTCTAAAACTTCCTAGACAGCTCTGTGTTAGACTGTATAAGAGACATATTGTCACTTGAGAGAGCTGATTGTTGACAGCTATGCAATAATGCATGGTTATATGTCTACAGCCATTATTGTCCTAGACGATCCAAGACCTATAACAACCCATTCTATTCCACTGGGCCGCTGAGAACCTATCTAGTCTCCATACTTCCCTACATCTGATATCGAGGACCTGTAGGATTGTGTTCATTCCTCATCACCGGACCTGGACTCCCAGAGAGAACGGAACAAGAACTGATCTCTCCATACAGAAGACGTAAGTAACAACGTCATGTCACATCAAACACAACATTCCATGTAACACACTGAACACATGTGGAAGACATATGTTGGCCAGGCAGACTATCTAACTTGACTTGACCTGACTTAATCCATCTTGAGGTAATTAAACAAATATCACCACATACACTTTATCTCTTATAAACCTGGTAATGTATATCTAGCAATGATATATAACAGTCTTTAAGACTTGGAATTCTACAGTAGGAGTCAACTTGATTCCCTGCTACGTAACATTCTGTGTTTATATTGGAGGAGATATACTCTATCAGGGAGAGTTCTCTACTTCTGTAATACAATATTGTCTTATACAGTTTTTTCTATGTTCATCTATATTTTTGGTTCTTTACTTAAAAAAAAGGAAAGTTCTTTTGTTAACCCCCTCTTACCTCATATAATATATTTAGCAATGATAATATTGCGATGCTTATAACTTGAAATCCATATGATATAATGATAGCGGTTTCAAATGGATGAATATCATCTCCCAAAAGATATATTTACTTTTTAGAGAATTTTCCCCATATATTTTATAATATATGAAGAAATATTATCAAGATTTATTTTTCAGCCATATTAAACAGGTAAAATATAAATATTAGAAAAAAATCCAAGGTTTAGAAGCTATTCCTTTGATAAATAAAATTCCCTTCTTATTATATACTAGCCGAATGACCCGGGCAACGCCCGGGGTTTACCCGATTAAATGCTTTTATTCAAATACTATTCGTTACAATTATAAATTGGCGCCGTGGATGTCATTCTTGTATAATATATAAATGAGTTTTAAAAATTGTAAAAAAAAAAAAAAAAATGCATCGGCCGGGAATCGAACCCGGGGCGCCCGCGTGGCAGGCGAGCGTTCTACCACTGAACCAAAAACAAACGGTGACAGAATTAAGAACACATGACGATGATAACTGTATATTATCCGTGACAGAGGCCACGACAGACGGTCGTGACTATATATATATTAATAATCCAAACTGTACCTTATCATGGATGTGGTCTTATTACCTTGTGTTTATAATCTATAATCCAAATTGTACCTTATCATGGATGTGGTCTTATTACCTTGTGTTTATAATCTATAATCCAAATTGTACCTTATCATGGATGTTGTCTTGTTACCTTGTGTTTATAATCTATAATCCAAACTGTACCTTATCATGGATGTTGTCTTATTACCTTGTGTTTATCTATATTAATAAAATGGAAATTTCATAAGTGGACATCACTAAAAACTTTCGTTACAATGCATCAATTTCAACCAAATTTTCAACATTTATGTAAAACGAGATGGAGCAGGTTTTGTTTAACATCAAAATATATTTCCTAACATTAACATGCGTAACTTCGCTGTTATCGATTAAATACAAAAAAAAAAATCAACAGAGTTAATTTTATTTATATATAAATACAAAATTAAATTTCAACAGAGTTAATTTTTTTACATACTAGCTAATAATCTCAATCTAAAAAATATTCAAAACAAGCAATTTTAAGATAACACCATATGTAAAACAGTCGGCCAAGAAAACAACAACGATATTACATCTTTCTCACATATTCACACACAATCTTGATTAATAATTAAAACTAATCTTTAACATTGTTTATTATACTTCAACTTTTATTTCTACATTTGTTTTTAAATACCCAATTGTTTTATCATGTTTCTAATTTCGCCTAACAAATATACAAATTTATAGTGACCAACATATGCAAATTTTATCTTTGTTTTTATTTAACTTGATATCGTAAACATAACATCCATTGTAAGCATTTTTCTGTTCACCTTCCGTGGTTTCTCTTTTCTCTGATAGTTTTTAGGTGTAGTGTATTTTCTTATTACTAGACTACAAACATTCCCTCGAGAAAAACCTGGGCGAAGCCGGGTACATCCGCTAGTAATCTATAATCCAAATTGTACCTTATCATGGATGTGGTCTTGTTACCTTGTGTTTATAATCTATAATCCAAACTGTACCTTATCATGGATGTTGTCTTATTACCTTGTGTTTATAATCTATAATCCAAATTGTACCTTATCATGGATGTGGTCTTATTACTTTGTGTTTATAATCTACAACGCCCGGGGTTTACCCGATTAAATGCTTTTATTCAAATACTATTCGTTACAATTATAAATTGGCGCCGTGGATGTCATTCTTGTCTCTATATATATAAAAGTCAATTTCTGTCTGTCTGTTTCGCGATAAACTCAAAAACTATATAATATATCAATAGGTTTTAAAAATTGTAAAAAAAAAAAAAATGCATCGGCCGGGAATCGAACCCGGGGCGCCCGCGTGGCAGGCGAGCATTCTACCACTGAACCAAAAGCAAACGGTGACAGAATTAAGAACGCATGACGATGATAACTGTATATTATCCGTGACAGAGGCCACGACAGACGGTCGTGACTATATATATTAATATATTCTTATGAGACAAAGGTCGCCTCTCCCGTCAAAATAGACGTCAAAACCAGACGCCATCTATTGACCGTCGCCGCAAACTAGCGGCCTCGAGTCGGTGACAAAGCCACAACACCAGCTTTGGCAAACTGAAAAGCGTCCACCTAAAGACCATGGTTTCGGGCTAATG